TTATAAATATATCAATTCACGTGAATATGACGTAAAAATTTCTATTTTTTTTCTGAAAAGGTGGTGTTTATTTACTTGTGACCACACTGTGTATAATTTGAAGTTTGGAAAACGATGTAAGCACTGGAAGATTGTAGGGAGGAGGGTGGAAAGTGTCAGAAGAGAGAATTATCTATTGGAGATACATTTTCAGTATAAGAGAATTATAACTTTTGATACAGTACTTCCCTCATCTCACAAAATTAACTAGAATCCCACACTGAAAAAGGGGTAGGGACCAATGCGAGGGAAGAACAGACATATACCCCCTGAAAGCATCCAAAGGATACTTCTGTAGATGAGAGAAACAGATCAGATGATCTGAGGGGCATCACACTACTTCAGAACCAGGTACCTCTTCGCCATGAACAGCTAGGAACAAACATGGCAGAAAAGGAAGGGAGCACATCCGAGTGGGAGAGGATAAGTCTGGAAAGTGATCCCAACTGGATAAATATAGAAATTCAATTCCACAGAAGTAGAATGGGTAATGGAGGATGCATCCCATGGTGTAGAATGGCTAGGGTGCAGCAGTCCATACTATGTAAGTCAACTGCATCCAAAACCTCCTCGGTGGGTACCGACATCATCATGAGAGTAGGATCATACCAGCTTTACCTGAAACCCCAAAATCGTTTATGTGACTGTAGGGCATAACACAGGATTAACATTGAGCCAGGGATCCAGAAATGTATCATCTGGTATCCAAAGGAAGTTCATTTATGTGGAACCCATCCCAGCAGCTTGGAACTAACAAGTGGTAAGGACTTCCATACTCCACTGGCAGAAAAGTGGGAGAAATGCATTGGAGAGTCTAGAGGAATGGCTACACCGAGATAGTGCAATGGATGATCATGAAACCCTAGTTTGAAAAGCAGACCATACCAATTTATTCAATCAAGGCATGGCAGGGATGGGCAACTATCCCCTTCTGCTTTACCCATGCCATCTATGTGTGGTATGGTCCAGGACAGGCCTATTTATGAAGCAAACATGATGAGGTTATTGACTATCCAGTGATCTTGTGAAACACTCCATATCAAAGGTGAATATGCAGATCCATGGAAAGAGGAAATGAATCAACATGGCGTGCAGTAAGGATTTATTTATGTACGTAAAAATACCTAGTCAGGCACCACTCTCCACAGAGTAGGATCCAAAAGATGAAAATCGAAGCAAGGGCCACTGAAAGAAAAGAAAGCATTAGTAAAGACTTACCTAGCCATACAGAAATCTGAGGTATAGCCACAGGTGGTAGGTGATACCCTGAGGTAGCAGAAACTGCAACATGATGTAAGTATTGGGAGATGGATGTTTGAGGGGTGGCCCACATGCTTGGCTGCAAAATTTTTCCAAAGGCCAAAGCAGACGAAGAGTTGGATTTCATGGGAGGTAACATAGAACAAAGCATGTTGGGAGGGGGACAAGGAGGAATAAAGGACTAAATGAGGAACCCTACTGGTAACAGTAAATAAAGAATGATCCTGATAGGAAGATGGTTGCCACAGGATGAAGAGATGGGAATGGAAACCATTGAAGGAAGCCCTGTGAGTAAGGGGATGCACTAGGTATAGAAGTCTATCCAGATCAGGATGAGGGTAAAGATGAGAAATAGAGGGAAAGGAAATGGGTGAAAAGGAGCGGTTACTCTCATGAGCCACTGAGTTCTTGGGAAAGAAGAAATGATCCAGATAAGGAGAATATAGGTTTTATGGTACAGTGTGCAAGTGACATCGATAGCAAACAGATCCGACCAATGATGCCCACAGGCCAAGAGGAGAAGGAAATACACCTTAAAGGATAGGTGAAACAAAGAGCACGAGGCAAATGGAGGTAAAGTAAGGGAATGAAGTACCATGTAAATGTTCCAATCTGGAAGTACTGGTCATCTAAGTAGCCAGTATGACCTGGAAAGAATGGATCAAATTGGCAAGAACAGAGGAAAGAATGACCCTGCAGTAAAGGGGGAAAATGAAAAGTATGGGGTAGGGCTGCCTGATATTGAGGATACTGAAGACCCATTCTCAAAAAGTCATGTAAGAAACTCAGAGATACCAGCAACTGTAGGATGAGAAGCTGGGATGCCCCAGAGTCAGGGCCCATATGGAAAGAACATTTAATTTCCACTGATACACAGCCAGGCATGAAGGACAAATGGAATGAGCTAAATGAGATGCTGCACGACATAAGAACCCACATCTCCTCACCAGGGATCTGACAAAAGCCAGGCGTGAAGATGGAGGACAGGAAGTGCAGGATGCAAAACCAGTGATTGTGGTTGATGAAGAAGGTGAGGGAAAAAAGGAAGAGGGATGGGAGGGAACAAATGCTGCTGGAATAATCGAGTAAACCACAGTTGAGTGGGCAAGTAGGGAGCAATCAGAAGGACTTTGCACGGAGTGGTATGGATGAGGGATTGGTATGGATCTACCTGATGAAGTAATTGGATAGGAAGATAAACATAGAGGAACTTGTTTGACCAATTCTGGCTGAAAGCATCTATAGTCAAAGCTTGAGGATGGGGAACAGAGGACCAAAAAAAAAAGGTAGCTGCTGATTGAGGGTGGTGAAAAATGCATTAATATGAGGAATAGCCCACAGATCGCAAAGCCTCCAAAAACTAAAGTGATGAAAGAACCACTCCATTCGGTAAACCTGGTTGGGTCAGGAAAAATGATCCACTACAAGGTTGAAAGTACCCAGTAAATAACATGTCATCAAACAAATGTGATGACTGTTAGACCAAAAGAGAAGTTCCAATGTTAGAAAACACAGGGATCTCGACCAAGTGTCACCTTGGTGAGTGATATGTGCCACCACTGTTGAATTGTTGAAATGGATCGTAAACAGAGGATCTCTGGAGATAGGAAGAAAGTAATCCAAAGCCCGATGAACAGCAAGGAGTTCAAGGACGTTGATATGAAGAGAATGTTCCCTGACAGACCAATGACCTGAAGCATCTGGGTGATCGACCCACACACCCCAGCCCTAAAAGCATTAATCTGTGAAAATGTAAATCTGGCTGCAGAGGAGGAAGCAGGATGTATGAACCTTGTCCAACCACCATCAGAGATGGTCTACAATGTAGGAAGGAATAGTTATAGGTGCATCAAAGGGTTCCCAAGAAAGGTTTCATTAGTCATGATGGACTCACTGAAGGGATCATGTATAGGCCAATTGAGGGGTATGAGAGGAGTAATAAGAGACCACATCCCCAAAAGCCATAGAACCTTGTGAGTGGAAAGTGAAGGAGCAGTCAGGGTATTCTGAACAGCCAGTTCCATAGAACAGAGCCAGAGAAGAGAAGGTTGGGCCTGACTGATATGGGTGTTAAAGAAAATTACGAGATGAACGAGGTACTGGTTAGGATGAAGGATGGACTTCTCCAATTTGTTCAACCAGCCCACCCAAGCAGCTTCGAGAAGGATCTGATGAGTATGAAAGGCCGACTACCATTTGAAATGAGCAAGAAGAAGCCAGTCATCTATGTAAAAGTGAAAGCACAAGTCCAGGATATGAAGATGTAGAGTGAAGGTTTGCCCCACCTGACAGAAAATGTACAGCGGCAAAGCCAGCCCTAAGGGTAGAGAGCAAAATTGGTACACAACCCAAGATGGACAAACCCAAGATAAGGACAAGAACACTCCAATATGGGAATATGCAGATAAGCATTGGAGACATCCATCTTGGTCATCCAAACACCCAGAGAAAAAGCCCACTGAAGAGTAAGGTATGATTCCCTGGTTAAGCATAGGGTGTGAACATATCAATTGAGACAGGAAAAGTCAATGACTGGCCTCCAGTCTCCAGTAAAACCCCTGTGAACTGCATGGAGCAGGTCTGATAGCCTGTTGTGTGAGGTCTTGCACTGCCTAAGATAGACCTTGGTGTGACAATGGATCCTGAAGAGGAGGAGAGGAAGCAGAAACATGGGACAAGGGAGGAAGGGTAAAAAAAAGGGTATGACAAATCCCTCTCACTCAGTGAACCCAAACACTGGAGATGAAAGGGCTCCACCGATGAATGAAGGTCGCAAGGTAGTCCCCAGAATCATTGTTGGCATACCATGCATCATCATGAAAAACGACAAACAGTGGGACTGTGTAAAAGAAGAACAGGCAAGGGCTGGGAAGGGGAGGTTCGGGAGACAGTAATCAGTGCCATGCTTGGCTCCGACAGGGACAAACAGGCCACCAGATGAGAAAAAGTAGATTTTTGTTGGATCGATGCTACCCTCGACTCTAAAAGAATTTGGGATCATGTCAAACACAAAATGTCTCAAAAACAGGGCCACACAAAGGTCCTATAGACAAGGAGCCAAGAGACAGGTCTGTGACAATATGGCATGATGACCCAGAAGGTCCCAACAACAAATAAACCACATTTCCAAGGCCAGAGCCGAAGACGACAGGTGGACCAACATAGTAGTGAGGAGGAAGAGGACATGGGCATGGGTAAGATGAACGGGAGATTTGGGTCTCACCCCCAAACAGGCAAAACTGAACCCAACAATTGTTGGTCCAGATATAGATAGTCCACCCTATGATGAGTGAGGGTGGACTGATCTGAAGCACACAGGGGATGAGGCATACTCACACTGTTACCTAACTAGGAGACAACCACTCATTGTGAACCAGAATATCACAAAACATCACACAAATAAGATGTACCCAAAGTGGCATTGTTAACTTTGGAATTCATACTTGATACCAAACAAACAAGTGAAAAGTTTTGCAGCAAAACATGGGTAAATCAAATGCTTTCGAAAGTGAAAAAATAATTATTGACATAAAGTAAATTAAATTATGTTAAACCACTTAGAGAAGTAATGAACGAAAAGAATGACATCTGAACTCAAGCACTGCCAAATGAGAAGTGATGGTTCAGTAATGGCGCATAAAGGAAGTTTTATGTGGCATGCTTGTGGCATCCGCTATAAAAAAGTTTGCACACAAAGAGAAGCACAAAGTCAGAAAAGTTAATCTTGTAAGCAGAGGGAAATACCATTCTACATTTCAAAGGTCTAAATACAACAGGAACTTTCTTTTAAAATACTTTGAGTCTTTCCTTATTTAGTCATTCTCTCTTAACAGCCACAAGGCTTTTGGTTTGAATGACCCTGATGCACTGACACCACCTTATCTAAAATATTTCACTCTCCTACCTTCTATACAACATATAGCTCAATCAGCAGGTGATGTACACCAGTCCTTCTTTCCTGCCACAAGCTAGATATGTTTTTTTTTGCAGTTGTGACATTATATATATATTGTTGCATCAGCGAGGTCACATGACTAGTGTCATGCCACGTTTTCTACAAATATCCTGTTCCTTCGTGAATGCCCTAGTATTTACTAGATTGGGGGTAGTCTGGTATATATAAGATGGTCACAACGTGATGGGACAACAGTGTAGTGAGTAATTGAACTGCAGTCAGAAAGTATTGTTGAAGTTAATGTTCGTTGTTATAGCATTTGTTTTAGCGCGATTGTTGAAATTAAGTGTATCATAAAGTTGTATTCAGAAAGAATAAACCAGTTTTATTTAAGAAAGGACTTGTGTCGCTAAAGTTTCGTCGGAACGAAGTTACGGAAAATCAATTAACGAACGGAGACATAACAATATCTTTAGAATGTGGGGAGTAATGCATCTCAGAGGTATCTGTTTGAAATTTATTTTAATCATAAGCCAAAATAAACACAATGAGATGGAAAAAGAAAATGGAGTGTCATTAGTAAAATATAAACAGCGCAGTAAACACATTACATATTTAGTACATAGTACTACGTAGTGACATGGTAGTGGTTTGGTAATGTCCGAATAATATGTAGTATATATGTAGTAATAACGTAACTTCATAATGTTGTGCCACTACACAGTAACTACCTAATAACATTATGTTTTATCTACATAGTCAGAATGTAACTTTACAACATATAGTACTATTACGTAGTAATAACATGAAAATATTACATTGATAACGAAAAGCTAAAGAGTACATCACCTACCAGTGTAACTCATAGACTAATATGTATTCCACACATAGTATTTCTTTTTGGTGTTTGAATATTAGTTGCATATATTTAATGTCACATTCAAATAAAAATATTTTAAATCATGTTAAATACTATTTTCCATTTAAGAATATAAAAGGAAAATTAATTACAATATATTTGCCTATATTCGAAATAATTTGATATATCTGTTGTAATTTGGATAAGTGCAAAACTTCAGGAATGATAAATATAGTGTTACGACAGCGGAAGTCACGTGAAGCTAGTAGCACGTCATGATATTCTATAAGGATCATGTCTGTTCGTGGCAACTCTAGTCTTTTCTATGCGCCCTCTGTTCTTGTATATAAACACACCAGACAATGGATCGGAATGAGAACAATTGCAGATTGAAGAG